TTGGAGTAAACGCTCACACGTCAAGTCTCAATCACTAGTAGCCGTGAGACTCGCGGTGTCTCACAGTCTTGAGCAGGGGCGGTTTCTTCATTAGGGCGATTGGGCGACGCACCACCAATGTCATTGAACCACAAAGTTACGCGAGCCGTCACTGTGCCTCTGGATATAGTCCAATCAGCGTCATGTCACGTTCTGTGGAGTACCGCCTCTTTTTGGGCGATTTCACTCTGGCTGACAATCGCCCAGAGTGTTCCCATAGACTTACATTCAAAGATGTTTTTTTTCGTACGGCGGGCGCTCCAATGCATTCTCTATGGCTTCCGGGAGGGCTCGCACTAACGTGCTTACGTCATCATACGTAAGCACGTTTCAGTCAACAATATTATTTGTCGCCACCTAGTGGAATCTTTAATAAAAGAAACGGAGTGGATTGTAATAATAGTGAGTATAGAAACAAACAAGATGTATTGTAAGAGTCACTTTATTTTTCATTAATATTGAAGAAGTGAAGTTGCCTTTAGATGCTTAAGCTGTTAATTTATCCATTGCATGGGTGGACCTTATCCTTATCAATCATCCAGACATTTGCCCCCCCTGAGAGATTTTGCAGGAGCCGCCACTGGTCTTGAGCGTCTCCTGGCTGTGAAATGCATGCCCACGTTTGTTGTTGTTTGCCCGACAATCACGCACTCAGCCATATTTATTGCAGTGTCTCATCGGCAGTGGCTGCCGACGGTTCAGGTCTGATGTGACGGTTGGTTCCAAAAGTTTTGTCTTTTACTCTCAGGCTTTCTATTAGAAAACAGTGGGGGAACTAAAAACAACTATATAAAATTAGTATTATGATTATCTACTATTGGTGAGGGAGGGAGGTGTTCACGAAGTGCGAAACATAAGCCTCTTGCAGCTCTGCCACCCCTCGTTTCTCTACGAATGGACCTCAACGTGGCCTGCTGCGTGACTGGTACGTTTCTGTGCCTCGGTGTATTGGGTTTCTGCCTCACTTTCTTGGGTTTTTCCCACGGTGTTTCATTTGGGGGTCTTTTTGAATCCCTGTCGGATTGGCCGGTCCCTGCTTGGCCAACAGCTACGAGAAAGCGGGGTTTGCTGCTTGAATGGACTACGACTAAAATCGAGTTACCCAAGTTAAAAGATGGTAGTGGGCATCGAGTTGACAATTTTGCGAGCTTTGACCTGGTTGACGATGAGGGCACAGACAAAATCCAAGTGTATTCTCTATCAATGTATGCACTTGATTTGACCACACTCAGCAGAGTGTAAATAGAGATTGAGTAGAATAGAACCTCGCTAAGTTATGCAGTGGCCCTCAAAATGCTTCCACAGAGGTTGTGATCATGACATTTCTATATGTCCGTTGAATCAATCTCGGGTATGGAACTCCGATAGTAGGAGTGCTCTGCTCAGTCGTAGGGGTGGTGATGTGGCTCAGCGGAAGCACATTTACAGATTGGTACATAAGTTCGCAGTTTGAATCTGGCAGGCTGCCCTGGTTAAACACTGTGCTGCTTATTAGCCATACAATGCGTGCTTCGCAGTGGATATTGAAGATCCCGTGAAATCACGAGAATAAGATTAAAGCACTGTGTGTCTACATCGTAGGTAAAATTTCCCTAATTTGAAGCATTACTTGAAATCGCTTGAGAAACACAGTGATCGTTGTCCACCTACTGCAAAAACTTAGCAGGCCCCTTCTGAAGAAGAGGTAAGACCGAGTGAGGCTTTCCTGGATAAGCACGCGTAGTAATAATACTATTATGGGCTCGATGGAAAAAAATACTTGAAAAAACAATAACATCCAAAAGAGAAAAGTCTGCATTACATCCCACTGAACAAACCCACGAATGTTAACAAATTGTGCCTGTACTCGACTTTTTCTCCGAATGCCCAAGTGCAGCATGTTCAGCTTTCATTTTTGTGAAATTTTACTGCAGCTCCAGGCAAATCGATTATTTCTAACAGCATAGGAAAGGCACCATTAAACCACCCACCCTGCCAAAGCACAACACACGCAACAGTCGGATCACACGGCACGTTCTGGCTTTTATTCTCTCGCCGGGCCCAGAGAAGCTGTGGTGCTTGGGGCCCGTGGCCCACACATTAGGCTGCCCGTGCATTAGTTCCACCAAGCTGAAGGTGGCTTCAGTGCTGAAAATGGAATCCTTTCTAAAGCCCGGCTCTCCAAAATGCATTCTCCCTCCGGCAGACGTCATTTATTACATTGATTATTTCACAATTTCAAAATCTGCACAAGTAATTTTAGCTCTCAGCATGTTGGATGTTTCTCTTTCAGAGCAACGCATGACGTGGTTTAGCATATGCAAGCTACTCTAGTTATTTTATTGTATTACATTTCTAAATTGTTTGGCAATCTCATAAATATAAAGTGTGATGATTGAATGCAAATATTTATACATTTAATAAATGGTCTGTGTGTACATTGTGCTATGTTAGCACAAGGCTATACAGTAGATTGAGAAAAGACAATTGTTTACATTGATTTGAATCTCAACTTTTGGCACAAATATTTTTTACGATGGATTTATTTTTCACACCACCAAACAATACGAGTAAAATGTAATATTCCTACAACATTGAGAGTCGCAAAATTCTTAAAATGTGCAGTCTAAATATTACTCGAAAGGATTAGGCAATTTACAAGGCCACATCATTAGGCCACATCATGTCAGTACAAATGTTCCAACAATTTGTGACAGACGCTGGCAGTGACTGCCAACTGGGCTCTCTGGCACAATAGACCATTACCCGCATATAATATACAACCAGAGCATGTGACATATGCTGCGAGTATTATTTTTGCCAAAATCAAGGTCATACTTTTATTGGTGTAATTCCTATAACTGCTTGCGTACGCACAATAACACAACGCTCTTCTTGAATTACCGCAGGCTTATCACAACACATGTTGTCTCAGAAATGTAAATGTTGAAAGCGGCAGAGCTGTGTGGATTTTGAGTGAGACATCTTGTGGCTGAATCATACCCACTTCACTAGGTCTGAGATTGCTTCCCTAACCCACAGAGGGCTCATTTAACACCAACATAATAATTGAATGCATACAAATGCATGCTCCTTGGAATAGTTTTGACCATAAAATAAGGGTCAAAATACAGTGCAGCAAACTGATAATTAAAACTTTATTAAATAAAAATGCATGCAATAACCATGGCACTGCAGGCTCTATAATGGAATACAGTTTTAGACTGGTAAAGAAACACAACATCCAGAAAAACAAATCGTTTTTGTCTTCTAGCCACATTCCGTATCGCAGTGGCTCCAAACATGTGGTCCAGCAAGGCCATGGGAAGCAGTTCGTGGAACTGCTGCAGATTCTATGATTTAGAGTCATTTTAATTTTGGAAATAAATGTTATTGGTGATTGGTAGTCCACAAAAATGTTTCAGAGAGTTGACAGTGGTCAGTGGGTTCAGAAGTTAAGGAACCACTGACTGAGTTTAGAGCTTCGTTTTCATTGATGACAACTGTAAAGTGGCTTTTAGGCACGATCTGGGCGACATCACTGCAGTGACCTTGTATTTAAAGGCCAGCAGTCATGCCACCGTGGCGTCTGGTTTCTAAATAACATAACTTAAACCTGCTGTTGTACTGCCCAGGACCCAAGCCTAAAAGTGTAGCTCCAAGCTCCATGTCTAAACCCATCCCACTGGGAGTTTTGCACACTGCGTTGGTGTACGGTGTTTTTTTCTGCAATATTTTGCTGTCTTTTCTTGGATTTTCTGTTTGCACTCAGTCACATATTCACTTTAAGATGTTTTTTTGTTCATGTTTTTGTTTTTTGTTTGTTGCGGTTGCACCCGATTCAAGAGCCGAATGGCTCACAGGGCTATACCTAATAAATGAACTTGAACTTGAACTTTCGGTAATGCCACGTTACCAATCAGTCACAGTAATAGCCCGTTACCAATCTCCAAAGGACGCGACGCGATGGCGAGGTCCCTGCTCCAGGGCAAGGCTCACAAGTCACAACGGCCAATTTTCACGGGCAACTTGAAGCAGAACAAATCTTTTCCGTTGTCGTCTTTCAGTTGCCACTTCACCACAAGCTTGATCTGCGCCTCGCCAAAGACAGACGATCAATGCACGTCCACTTTAATCAACCACCCAGCGATTGCCTACCGTTCAATTGCTTACCGTTCAATTGGACAGTGGGAGAATTGAATAAAGGTGCGGTTAAAAACATTTGATACGTAAATTGTCCTGCCCTAACTCACCAGACCCAAGTTGATCTCAAAGCCAATACGGTATAGTCATAAAACAAACGCAGACGTAATTTACATTTCTGTAATTTACATTTACTTAAAGTTTGCACACTTGCTTAAACAGCAAAAACCTGTTTTTACTAACAGCAAAATACTTTTCCTAGCATATTAGCAAAATAAACACCCTGCATTTACTTAACTTCACAAAAAACATACACCGTATTTAATTTGACAATTCATCATCCAGGAAAAAAAATACAAAGTTACGTGTGGCATTTTTTATACCTGAAAACATAAACCAGGAAGCTAAATCATGCACGTGCATGGATTCTATTGCACTATCCAACACGCCTTTGTTCTTGGAAGTGTTTAACTAGCGATAATAATGTTACGTTCCAAACCGCACAGTGTGATGTAATCACATGCAATGATATCATCGGGAGCAGAGGTGGCCTGCATGATGTGCGATATGGTGACGTGACATCACACATAATGGGCTGCACACGTCGCTATAAGGAGTCATGGACAATGGTCAGGAATAATAGCGGAGTAGCAGCCGAGGAAAGGACTACCCAAGTGAGATGGAGCAATGAAATCAGTTCATGTGATGAATTGTCGCATCGTAATATCGTGAGCGGTGGCTTGGGTGAGAACTTCATCCAGCAGTGGATTGATCATTATTGATGATGATAAATGATCAATGGCGACATACGTTGGGGTAGCTGCTCTTGACGGGCGCACCCTGGCGTCGTAGCTGTAGCCTTGGCCCACGGCGAGCTGGCAGGCGATGCCCGACCTGCACCCGTCGCTCTGTGGGATGGAGAAGTGCACGGGGAAGCCCGCCACGATGCTGTGCACCACCGCGGTCACCGTGCTGCTCACCACTCCTGCAGCGCAGCATAGAGCACGAAGATCGGCGCTGCCCAGCCCACAGCACAGCGGAGCGGCCGAACTATCAATGAATAGGGCAAAGGCCATGCCCCCGGTTTTCTCCTGAATGCGTCACAGTGATTTCATGCTAAAATGAGCTATAAGGTAGGAGGTCATCTCCAGTTTGCAGCCCTGAGCCATTGGCAGAAGTCCCAGATTCCTATGGTGGTCTGTTCAAATAATCGCTGTTGACTCCCCTACAAAGTGGTAAAACATTGTATCGACCACGGAGGTATGATGGGCTGAGTCACTCCCCAAACAGGATTTGAACCTGCAACATTTTGACTGTGAGCCATTCGCTCTACCACTGGGCCTCCTGTCCTCAACGTTGAGCATGAATTGTAATAAAAGTATCCGTTTATTCACATTGCTATTCCATCGCAAAAATGATTTAGCAAGTGCATTTTTATGATATAATGTAAGCTGTGTTAAACCATGGGTGGACGATTGCTGAAGTTGTCGCTAATTAAACGTTCAATTCAATTAAACGGTGCTAAATAATGCATCACTAATTGCAATATTAAGACTACACAGCCAAAATAGACTGCCAACAATCAATTACACTATTTAACACAATTTTTGTTCCTGGGTAGTGTTATTTCGTAATTGCTTATGCTTAAAAAGTATCGAAAATGGCTATTATTCCCCACAAACTTTGCTTTTGTGACCAGGAAAGTGATATTTTGAAATGTATCTATTTTCAATGAGAAAACGGGCGAATTTGTGTATTTTCGTTCACATAAAGTCAGAAGAAAAAACATATGAATCAATATTCACATCTATTTATATTAAAGTAATACAAAAATGGCTACAAAATATTTAGAAGTGAGTAGTTTTTCCAGATTTACGATTATACTGTAAATCACTTTCACGAATCAGCCCCCAAATGTAGTCTCCCATCATATTCTCGTTATACTGTCCTTGGTAGCGGCATTCAAAGTCCAGTATATCCTGGTGGAAGTACTCGCCTTGCTCCTCCGTGTACGCTCCCATATTCTCCTTGAATGTATCAAGATGAACATCAACGACATGCACTTTGAGGGACATCCTACAGCCCATTGTGCCGTAGTTCTTCACCAAAGTCTCAACCAGCTCAACATAGATTTCGACCTTGTAGTTTCGAACCACTGCGAAAAAGCTGTTCCAAGCCGCTTTCTTCTTACTAGTGAGCTTCTTGGGGAATTCATTGCAGTCCAGGATCTTCTTTATCTGTGGTCTGACGAAGACACCGGCTTTGACCTTTGCCTCAGACAGCTTAGGGAAGAAGTCTTGAAGGTACTTGAAGGCTGCCGACTCCTTATCTACAGCTCTGACAAATTGTTTCAGCACCTTCCAGGGGTCCACCAGTGGCTCCCACTTGACGTTGTTCCTCCCCACACAGAACTCGGTCCGCTGTGGCCAGTCCCGCCTGTGGTATAGTGCGCCTTGGTGTCTAAATCTTTTGTAGTAATTTTGTATTCCTTTAGTATAAATAAATGTAAATTTTGATTCATATATTGCTTTTTTATACTATTTGTGAACGAAAAGACACAAATTCGCCCGTTTTTTCATTGAAAATAGGTAAATTTCTAAATATCACTATCCTGGTCACAAAAGCAAAGTTTTTGGGGAACAATAGCCATTCTCTGTACTTTTGAGGCATAAGCAATTAGGAAACAACACTTACTACCCCAGGAACCAAAATGTTTTTGTTACAATGTTATGTATCATTGAAAACTGCTGCAATAGCTTTGGTAACCCACCAGGTGGCCCATCGCTCGAGCGAGCAGCTCGCAAGGGGAAGGTGAGCAGCAGCTTCAGCCTTGCCTGGGGGTAGACTTAGCCCATCATCCTTCGGGGGTCGATAAAATTGGTACCAATTTATGCGGAAGTCGACCTATATTGTCACGTGAATATACTCGCCCATACAATCTGAATGTTGAATTTCCAACAGACCAACACTAACCCAGGGCCGTTGACAGACGAATACAACGTCAACGCTGATTTCAGCAGCAAATCACTCTGACGTTTAAAACGACCGATTCGTTTTGTCCAGGAAATGCATCGGCGCTCTCGGGGTTAACGACATCCAACACGCGCCGGCCACGGCTACGCGCGATTCGAATGTCGGACTGCCCCACCGTACTTGAGAAGTCACGGCCAGCAACGAACTTCACTCGCCCCAACACGAACGGCACGAGCCGGGAGCTGGCGAGGTGGCAAGGCACCCTGCCAGCCAAAATCTGGGCGGTGCAAGGAGGATAGTGGAGGGGTGAGTGAGTTCGTATTTATTGAAGCCAATGGACACTGGAAAACCTCCCCATACGGAACTCTAAAAACTGCTTTGGGCAAAAAGTGTGCGAAGCAGCCCGTGTGAAACATTAAGGACACGTCACAACACGAGTCTTTTGTGGCGTGTTCTCTGAGGAAACGTCGTTACGTCGAAGAGCACGCGGTCGCTGTTGGAATGCACGCGTTTCAACAATGGTTTCAACCAGGAGTCGGAAACCAAAATAACAAGAAGAGCCACAAATTCGGTAAAAAAACAACTCAGTATTTCAAGAGCCACAAATTCGGTAAAAAAAAACCCCCTCAGTATTTCAAGAGGCACAATGTAAAAACGAGACGGTGGTCGTGAATGAATAACATAAAGAAGCGGTCCTTAAAGAGCAGCATGCGGCTCCAGAGCCGCAGGTTGCTGACCCCTGGTTTAAACACATTCCTCCGGAGGGAGCTGGTAGGAACGTTGGGTTGCTCGGTCAATGGCCCCACTGTGAGGGCGGGCACAAGCCGGCGTGAGTAGGTTAAACGTTGAGTTTTATAAGGGCACCACGGGGTGACCAGCCCCTCCCCACCCAGCCCCACCCCTCCCACCCCCCACCCAGCCCCTCCCCACCCAGCCCCTCCCCACCCCTCCCCACCCAGCCCCTCCCCACCCTCCCCACCCAGCCCCTCCCCACCCTCCCCTCCCCACCCAGCCCCTCCCCACGCTCCCCTCCCCACCCAGCCCCTCCCTGCACGACGGAGGCAATAATCCCCTGTGGGCTGGTGTAACTAGGAGGTTCCTACCAGTAACAAACAGCATAAACTAAGCAAAACTGCCGAGACCTGTTATCGTATTGTTCTTACATAACATCATCCTCATCATCATCAACGGCAGCTACAATCAACCCACGGCCGTGTGGAGGCCTCCCTAAGTCGTCACGTCTCTCACGGTCCTGGAAGACAACAATCCATCGAGCACGTGATGATAGTGAGCTGATTTCATGGCTCCATCTCCATGGTAGTATCACCCTCAGGCTTACATTGCATACATTTGATGAACTCTAAAACAAATGTTTTCATGAAAATATCCAGAAACATTATATTATATCATATAGGAATCGTATAATAAAAATCAACAGTGCCTGGCCTTTGTACGTAATAACAATCACAGCTTCCTCGTCATACAGTGGAACCTCGGTATACGTCGTTAATTCGTTCCAGAAGGTAGGACTTACACCGAAAATGGTCGTATACCAAACGATTTTTTCCCATAAGAAATATAATTGGAAAGGAAATAATCCGTTCCAGAGTATAAGATATTATATTTGATATGGCATATTATACATTAATGGGGGTGTATACAATTATTTAGACACTACCTATTACTAAAATGCATACGTAAATTAAAATAAATGCGTAAATAAATTTAAACAAATTGAAATGAAATTTAAATGTAACATCACTTTACCTTGCTGAGAGGAGTCGTGAACGGAGTAGACGCGGTGACTCATCCTGACCCATACAAGTTCTAGCAAGTGCGTCGTATCCCAAGACATTTTTTTATCGTCAAAACACGACGTATACCAAATTCGACGTATTCCAAAGCGGTCGTATACCGAGGTATGACTGTATTGGATTTTTCAAAACATGTGCCACATCAGATATGCAAACCTGGACTGTGGGAATCTCAAGAGACAATATGGACCTGTATGACGGTAGCACGGTTATCCACTCAGCAAATAGTACAAACTGCCTTTTGCCTGGCGGTGAATGCAAGCTGACAAGCCAACCCATTGAGGGAGCCTACTTATATGTCAGAATCGTTAGCTATACTGGAGGAATCCGATGAGCTATAAAGCTCTTTTTCACAGATTTCCAGTATATATATTGGATTCAACGGTACAAAAACATTTTCACATGGGCCCGCATTGACTGTTCGGGCAAGTTCTGTTCTCAGCTGTTAAGGACGGAATTGTACGTGAGCGGGTGGTGTGACCAACACCACACCCTGCCACTTTTGTCCCCTCACTGCTGATGTTTACACAATGCACCAGGCACTAATTTAATGCTGAGCTGATCTAGAAGAGGCTCAAGACCAAGTTCTGATTTCATTCGCCACTGATGTTAATCATGGTCGGGAAACAAAACTCGGGTCGCCAAGTTCGAAAAGCAGTAGCATAACCACTGCACCGCCACTCCCCCACGAACACACAAGAATACACACGTGCGCAAAATGTACATGGACACACACATTCGGTGTGTTGTGTACATGCGCACTACACCGTAATGCACCAACTTACACGTAGACGCCCTATAATGTATGTAACCTAAACACAATGATATGCAATCTATATATATAAAATCGCGAATCTGTCTGTCTATCTGTCTGTCTGTGTGTCTGTGTGTCTCCGGACCATACGCACTTTCATTGGACGCCGGTTGCCCCTGCCAACGGCTAGCGACGCCTTCGCCGCTTTCATTGGACCTGGCAACGGCTAGCGACGCCTTCGCTAAGGGCTGCACTTTCATTGGACGGCGGTTGCCCCTGCCAACGGCTAGCCACGCCTTCACCACTTTCATAGGCTCCGTAAATAATTAAATAATAGCCATTACACAGTATTGTTGGTGCGCTGAGGGGGGGGGGGAAGGAACGCCACCCGTACCCTGCCTCTGCCAGGTGCTCAATTTTGGCGAGGCCGCAGGCTCTGCACGCTACTAGGCCTCGACACCCACCACGCCACTCTGAGGTAAATTCATCAAAGTTTTTCGTACTCTTCACTCCACCCCCACCACAATGTGTGCAATTAATATTACTTTTAAACCCAACGCGCCAACAATCGATTACTTAAATGTTCACTGTACAAATAGTCATTAAGCTGGGTCAGCGTACTGCCAGTCTATCATGTAGACTGTAGCCTGCTTATTAAGCTCGGTGAGCGTACTGCCACTCTATCATGTACACTCTAGCCTGCTTATGAAGCTGAGTGCGTGTACTGACAGTCTATAATGTGGACTGTTGCCTGCTTATTATAATCGATTCTTTATATGTTCTTTGTACAAATAGTCATTAAGCTGGTTGAGCGCCCCCAGTTCGATTCCAACTCACGCCCACCACCGCTGACGATTATTTGAAACGGACCTGGGCCTCCCCTAGGTCGACTCAGCCTCAAACGCGTAACGGCTGTCGTGTGTGAACATCGTCACTGGGGAGACAAAGGCGGCCGGGCATCGTGGATCCAAGTCCCGGGCGAAGCCGGGTCATGTCTATGTGTGTATGTGTTTATGTGTATGTCTGTGTGTCTGTATGTATGTGTGTATGTATGTGTGTGTATGTGTTTGTGTGTATGTGTGTGTATGTATGTGCGTTTTTTTGTATGTCTTTATGTGTATGTCTGCGTGTCTGTATGTATGTGTGTATGTACGCGTGTGCATGTGTTTGTGTGTATGTATGTGTGTGTCTATGTATGTGTGTATGTGTTTCTGTGTATGTATGTGTGTGTATGTATGTGTGTTATGTGTGTGTCTGTGTGTCTGCATGTATGTGTGTGTGTATTGTGTATGTGTTTGTATGTGTTTGTGTGTTTACGCGCGCATTACACAAATGTGTTGCAGGTCTAAGGCGTTCCTTGCGCAGCATTGCCGCTCCCTGAAAGTCGTGTGTGTCTGCAGCAAGCGCGTGTATGTGTACCTATGGACGCGCGCGCGTGTGTTGTGTAGGGGGAGCGGTAGTGTAGTGCTTAGCGTGCTGTCTGTGTCTGTGTGTGTCTGTGTGTGTGTCTGTGTGTGTGCGTGTGTGGTGTGTGGGGAGCGGTAGTGTACTGCTTAGCGTGCTGTCTGTGTGTCTGTGTGTGTGTGTGTCTGTCTGTGTGTGTCTGCGTGTGTCTGTGTGTGTGTCTGTGTGTGTGTCTGTGCGTGTGTGGTGTGTGAGGATCGGTGGGTGTAGTGCTTAACGCTACGCTGCGCTACCAACCCGGCAAACCCAGTTCCATTCCCGCTCACGGCCACCACCGGTGACCATTATTTGAACCTCCCCTAGGTCGACTCTGCCTCAAACGAGTAACTGCTGTGGCGTATTAACATCGCCACTGGGGAGACAAAGGCGGCCGGCCGTGGTGGATACAAGTCCCGGGCGAAGCCGGGTAGTACAGCTAGTTTAACTATATAATAATTCATGATAAAAATGCTTTAAAAAATATAGCACATCAAAGTTTGCCTGACAACTAGACAAATCAAGGCAACAGTACTGGTAAGAGGATCTGGTACAGGTCGTTTGGGGGTTTCGTAGTTTGCATCAGCAAATGTGAAGTGTCTACGAATGCACCGTTGGACAGATGTACGTTTGGGCATTGGTCGATCAGTAGCCAATTGGCTCCGTAGAAAAAAAAAGTGTGCGTGGTTCTGTGCGCTGCTCACCGCTGGTGAAATTGACGTGAATGTTGGTGGTCTTGCCGTTGCAGAGGATTCATGGCTGGGTTGGGCAGATATCTTGTCGGTCTGTGAGCCTAGAGGGAGAAACAAGGAGAGAGCTCAATCTGTCATCTGAAGCTTTCACACAAATAAAATTTGGTCTTTCCGCTTAATGAAATAAAACATTCCTCTGGCAGCAGGGGCGGCTGGTCTGTATGGGGATAGTCTCATTTACAAGAGTGACGACCTCGGTCACCGAAATGACGAAAGCAATAACCTCAAGTACGAGAATGAAGACAATTGAAGTCAAAGCCAAAGACAACTACGTTACATAAGACATCGAAAATACACATATTTATCAACTACACATCTTCATCGGTGAATACCATTATAATCACCACCACCACCGCCATACCATTACGAAAACTACAAAGGTATTGTCACAACTTTGAGGAGAGTACCAGGAAGAGAGATACATCCTGCACGTGTCACCATTCACATCGCCACTAACTGTTACGTAGACCTGAAACGAAAACATTTTTGCGGAAACATTTGTTGGCAGGATCAGGTGTGGCGGTCGCGGACTTCAGGATTCAGTTTTCTACTCATCTAAAGAGCCTCGGCACCATACTCGACCAGAACATGTCGTTCGATCGCCACACGCAAAACAGTCAGGTCCTGCAATTTTCATATCGGGGCTCTACGATTCATTCGACCACTATTGAGTCTCATCGCTCAATCCACCCTTGGCTGCCACTCTGTCAGTCGCCTCACCCACCGGCCACCAACCGCAAGCACACGCACGCGGTGGGCTGACCGAGGTCACCGAGCACGAGCCATTACGCAGCCACGGACCGCGGTCGGTAAACGTAATCGGCTCCGCCAGCGCAGAAGAACAAAGCGGGTCACACGGTGAGGAGCACGAGCATCCACGTCCACGCGCCTTGGCCCCACTCCTCGACACTCAGAGCAGCAGAAGCAGCAGCAGAAGCAGCAGCAGGAGCAGCAGCAGCAGGAGCAGCAGCAGCAGGAGCAGCAGCAGGAGCAGCAGCAGCAGAAGCAGCAGCAGCAGAAGCAGCAGCAGCAGGAGCAACAGCAGGAGCAGCAGCAGGAGCAGCAGCAGCAGAAGCAGCAGCAGAAGCAGCAGCAGGAGCAGCAGCAGCAAAAGCAGAAGCAGCAGCAGAAGCAGCAGCAGCGCTGTCCATGTGAAACCTGGACTGGGCTCAGTTTTTTCTGGGTTGGAATTTTTTAAATCTCTGCGTCTAAGAGGGTGTTTACTGGCACGTGTGGCGTTAGAACGATGTAGGAGGTGGGAACCAACGCAAACGTGAGCTTCAGAGGGTCATTTATGACTTTACGAGTGGCACAAAGTCGTTTTACAATTTCTTGCCTGTCTGGGGTGTGTCACGAATATTAGTCGATTTTTTTAAAGCAACTAATAATGAATGAACATGCACAAAGCAGGCCCTGACAGCAGCCTATACCACCTATGTCACCTTCCGAGCACTATCCAGGCTTGAACCTGCTTAACTTCCAAGAACTGTGTCATTCGTGTTCGCTCTGCATGTGTCGCTTGACAACCTGGGGTTTTCCGTTAGATGCAACTTTATTTTATCGTATAAAATAAACATAGTTTATAGTTTAAAAGAATAACTTTCAGTTTATCCGCACCTCCGATTAGCACGGTTGGTTACGTATGGTGCGAAAAAAGTTAAACGTACATACAATCCAGGTGAAATGTTTCATGTTGAAAACAATGCGTTCGGCCGCATTCTGGCTGATTTGGTCATAGGCTGCATTGTCAGCCAGAGGGCAGTTCGGAAAACCCCATTGTTATACTGTACTACGGTCCCATGTTTAATCTCCCTGCTTAAAACACATTCCTGCGGAGGGAGCTGGTAGGAATGTTGGGTTGCTCGGTCAATGGCCAGGGTCAACGACGGCGTGGTGTATTCCGTAAATATGCCCGACTGTGAGGGCGGGCACAAGCCGGCGTGAGTAGGTTAAACGTTGAGTTTTATAAGGGCACCACGGGGTGACCAGCCCCTCCCCACCCAGCCCCACCCCTCCCACCCAGCCCCACCCTCCCCACCCAGCCCCTCCCCACCCTCCCCACCCAGCCCCTCCCCACCCTCCCCTCCCCACCAAGCCCCTCCCTCCCCACCCAGCCCCTCCCTGCACAACGGATGGACGGACACAATAATCCCCTGTGGGCTGGTGGTAACCAGGAGGTTCCAACCAGTACCACCTGCACTGACCGGCGTGGTGAAGTATGGTCAAAGTACCGCCACGACCCGTGCAGAGTGAGGAAGCCGTCATCCAACAGCGGATTCACAAAAAAAGAGCTGAACATGTACATTGGTGGCCATTGGTCTTACAGGTCCACTTTGTATTTACCAACTATAGCGATGTTTCATTGGGTAATGGTAGTCCCTATAATATATAAAAAATGTAGAGGCTATTTTGGGAACGATTTGTCGACCAAGTGTAGCAGGGTGTGTGCGTAGATTATTGGACGCCCTGCGCGGTACTGCTAATATCCCAAGGTGGGTTAACTTTGTGGAGGTCAAAAAAATGCATTGTTCCATGCGCAGTGTTCGGCGAGTTTCAGACATGTCCTGTGTTTTCTATACAAGAGGGCCGGCACTGTAAGTTGATGAATGAGTTGACAGTTTTACAACCACTGCTGGATGAACGCGTCCTGGCTCTGTGTTTTAGTGATCAATACAAACCCTCACCTTATCTTGAGTGACCGTTCACTGCTTTTGTCCATTGATTGTTGCTCCTTCTTTATAGCTCTGTAACTTCCGTGGTGATATTATTGTGTTTTGAGCACACGTTCGATTACCTAAGTTTAATAAATATTATAATGACATTTACACAGGAAAGTCTCGAGTATCAAACCTATTATTCAGTAATGTCCTACGCTGGGATTTTGGTCAGTTCCATGAGTGAGAGTTTCGCATGTGGGAGGAAAACAGAGAAACTGGAGATTAGCCACGACACATCTGAAGGGGTAACACTCACAGAGCACTCACCAGGCTCAACACTGCTTAGCTTCTGATAGCTCATGGCGAGATCATCCACGATGTGGCACGAGGCAAATTCAAATGTTGTCAACATTGCAGTTTGAAGAGATTGCGTGTTTTGTTATTCTCTTACGCACCATTGTTTGGTATGAACTACAATTGCATCTCCGATCGTGATTGCTGTCATAATCAGCCATGATCAATGCGATACTCTCTCCGTGTAACCTTAATAAATCTGGAAGTAATTTTCATGAAAATAACATCAATAATGTACAACCCTTAAAGCTTTCGTGACTGCAGGAATTCATATTCTTTGGGTCTTTCATTTTTCTCTGGGTCTTTCGGTAAAGTCACGTAGATAGGTTCAAAGAAATAACAAAATACTCTTTGGTTCTTTCGGTAAAGTCACGTATAAAGATAAAATAATAAATTAAATAATAGCATACGACGTTTCGATTGCAACACAAGCAATCATCATCTAGATTTGTGTTTCTATTTCATTTATACCTGATGATGATTGCTTGTGTTGCAATCGAAACGTCGTATGCTAGTATTTAATTTATTATTTTATCTTTATACGTGACTTTACCGAAAGAACCAAAGAGAAACAACATGTTGTTATTTTTTCTTTGATATATGTACAGCCCTTTGTCAATCCACTGCTGGATGAGGAGCCCCCTCCCCACCCCGTACAGACGCGTGCCCCAACGATCGCTGCTGTCACCGCCCGGGCGTGAGTCACGATGGCGTGGATGTGATGTGGCTGCAAGAGGACCCGCCGGTAGGAGGCGCAATGCAACTGATCAACAGCTGTCTCGCCAGACTTTGAATCGGATTTCCCAAAAAAACGACGCAAGGCAGCGAACGCCCTCCTTGAAGCACGGCGAGATTATGGTGGCGGAGCAGACGCAAGATGCTGACCCCTGAATTCTAAAATCACCCGATCTATTTGAAGAAGTGGGGCGGTGGCTCAAGTTGTTCGCGGTCTGCGACATCAACCCGGCCATCTGGGTTTGATTCCCGATCACGGCCAACATCAGTAATGTGTTGAACCCGTGCTGGGGTCACCAATTCAGCAACCCGCACTTACCAGCGTGCTGAAGTATGGCCAATCAACCCTCGTGGCCGACGGGGTGGAGAGGCCTTCATCCAGCCGTGCATTGTCATAGAGCTGTACATTTTTTCATTAATCGTCACGATTCAACGTCACGACGCTATTCTTTATCTTCGTCGTGATCAATGGTGGCGCCTCTCGTGGCTGCAGCAGAGGTCGCAACCGGGTACCCGATACCCGTACCCTACCCGATACTCGGCTACCCGTACCCGGCTGGGTACCCGGCTGGGTACGGGTAGCCGTTTGCGACCCTGGTGCGGCCGGGTACGGGTAGGCCGTGAGTCACTGATGAGTAACTGTTTTTCACTCATTTCCCAACGTCTTGTCTCTTCTCACAATTCAAGTTCCTAGAATCAACCCACCCGCGCCTGCAACATGGCTTCATCCCAGAGGTCACAATCAGGTACCCGATACCCGTACCCTACCCGATACCCGGCCGGGTACGGGTAGGGTACGGGTACGGCCGGGTACGAGTACCCGTTTGCGACCTTGGTGCGGCCGGGTACGGGTAAGGAATCAAAACTCGTTTGCGACCTCTGGGCTGCAGTGACAAGGAACCCCATAACACGAACGCGACGCGATTCGATGCATGCGTCATGAGTTTCAGGAATCATCTAGATGAATCGATGCGCCTCAATAATGTATCAATCTTTTATTTGACATTTGATATGTAACAATGTGTATGGCTGCAATTTAGAGATGTCCTGTACAGTGTTACATCACAGCTGTTAAGTGTGAAGTTGATTCCAACGAAATCCTTTAAAAATATATATATTTCTTCGCAAGATAATACAATTGAAGGTTCTTAATATTTCTTGAGAACCTTGGTTGTTTATTGTAATACGTACATAATGTACTGTATATCTCCAGAGTGCCACTTAAATTAGCCAAAATATAAAAAAATATTTACAATTTTTCATTATGGATATTACTGTAACAATTATACAGTTTTGCAACCTTGTTAAGGATTAAGAATAAACAACCCCCCATCCCTGGTCACCATGGGTCAAAAATGCCCCCTCCCTGATATGAACCCACTGAAAGTGGTCACCCAAGCGTGAGAACATCAACTCAATCAACGTAGTGGCGTGTGGACATCGGCTTTGAAACACAAGTGGCAGAAACGCAGCCTCCATCAAAGGCATCACACGATGAAGGAGAAGGACGTGGTTGTCTTTTTTCTGAGACTCAGCCATTTGTCCCACACTTTTTAACTGCATTCAACCCATAGGTTGCAGGCAACTGGTTAGCGATTTGACTGCGGAGTCACTGGGTGGCAGAGACATGGATGGGGGATCTCATCCTCTCAAGCGAGGTGGCGCTAGCAAGGTCCAATTGTTTTACAATTGCCTGCTCTCATAAAAGTCACGAATTCTAGTATCACTCAGCAGCCAGTGGCAAGGCAGCAAAACAGTAAAACAGACCTCACTTCAACCAAGCTGGCCCTCAATCAACTTTATGAGAGGGCCGACCTTGTGGATGGATGACCCGGGCACAGCGCCGTGAGGGGCGCCAATTGGCTCGACTACAATTGTTGTCTGCCCTCGGCGCCACGTATGCTGAGGCCAGCTCTGACAATAATGAAAATGACAGAGAGACAAACCCATTTACAAAAAAAAACTCTTTCTGCTCATTCAAGCAACTAATCACAACCTGGAGCTCCTCGTGACGACGTGCACTCCACATTGTGCGTCCGCTCCATTCTGCGTGACCCCAAGCCGCTCGCCTCCGGCCTTCTCAGTGACCGGGGTCGCGGCGCTCCACTCGTCCTTCTCGGGCACGCTGCAGGCCCCCCGTTCATTGCAGTCGTCCGCCACGGGGAAGGGAAACTCGCAGTCGCCGTGACGCGGCAGCGCAAACTCGGGCTGCACGGTGATGTCGTCGATGCCCTCCAGCTGCAGCAGGTCGTGGATGTGGAGGCCTGCCGTGGCGTAGTCGGACATCCCCGCGCACTTGATGTGAACGCTGGCCACGTCCCGGCCGGCCGTCAGCCGCCAGACATGCAGGCGGTGGATGGATTGGACGCCTGGAATCCCACTCAGCTTCTGCTCTGCAACCCCCATCCAAAAAAACAAAGACGCACACACATACACGTGCCAGATCGAATGAACGAGGAAGTGAATAACTGACATCGCGCATCGATTTGCGTTTGGATTTTCACCTCTCCGGGTTTGTCTCAGGAATTGGCATGTGTGTTTGGGTGGCAGCAGCAATTGATTTGTACCGAGTCATGGAAACGGCATTATGTTGAACTCTATCCAGTTTTCTATTTAAAGCTTTCGTGACTGCAGGGATTCATCTTCTTTATTCTTTCGGTAAAGTCACGTATAAAAAGAAAACATATTTTATTATGTTTTATTTTTATTATTTTATTACTTCCATTCTACGTGACTTTACCGAAAGAACCAAGAAGATCTATCCAGTTTACTTCACTGTTTTGATAATAGACCTCGGCTGACTGAGATTATGTCCAGGTTTGGTCTACAGTGGAAAAGTTGGCCACCCCATGTGTGAGTTGTGAGGTGTGTTGTTTGGCACAATGTTCGATTTTTGTATGTATATTGAAAGTCTTTCACACCGTACGTAGCCAACCATGCTATTCGGCGGTGCAGGGGAAGGACAAAAAAAACAAAAAACAAAAGTCAGTTCGAAAGAAATTCGTTTTATATCTACATTTAAAAGTGCATAGCTCCAGCGGCTTCCCAATATCGGAAGAGCATTCCAGACGGCCGCAGAAACACATCTGACAGTGCGCGATGCAGTAACCTTCTTTGTTTGATAGTTATCCAAAAGCCGCTGAGAGGATGACCGGATTTTGTGTGATGGTTTATGTTCCTTCGTGTTCACTCCACGTTTCGCTCCATGAGCTGACAGCTTAAGGATCTTAGAATGGACTTCCTGGAGAAGCTCCTAAATGCGTAGAGCAGGATAGGGTCTATAGGAAGTGATGAGTTCCTGAAGAAGCTTCGAAGCACCATATGGAGTGAAATGTCAGACACCACGCTGAACAATATTCTGTACATATGCAAATTCTTTTGTCAAAGCGCCCTTTCCCCCCCTCATAACCCAGCTTTTATATATGCTCCAAGCTCGTGTGCTGTTTCATTCAGACGCTGTCTCCCCGACAGACCTGGTTTTCACCTGAGGACGGCTGCTTGCGTTGTGGCCGAAACGTCGTGAGAATTATTTAATTATGTTTTATTTTTATTATTTTATTACTTCCCTTCTACGTGACTTTACCGAAAGAACCAAGAAGATGAATATTCTGTACAACCTGAATAAAACATGGCAGAGCTACACAGCAGCACAACCAAGACAACCTACGCAGCAATTATCGATTAGTTAAACACGCAAATGTACGCCGTGATGGCGCGGCTGGGAGCATGTCTGCGGCATGGCGTGCCGCGTGCCCGCCCACAGGGCCACTGAAGTGAAGGCCCTTGGGGCCGTCCATAAATGACGTCACGCGATTTTGGACGATTTTTGACCCCCCCCCCCCCCATCGTCACATGGCGTCACAAAAAGTCAGACCCACACCTCAAATATGACGTCACAAAGGTCTGCCCTCCCCTCCAAAATTAAACATGCTTCACGTCGCTTTAAACTATTGTCATTGTAGTACTTATTTAATGTGGCGCTGCACTCTGATGTTGTAGGATAATTTTTTTTTATCAAAAAGTGTATTTAATTAAGTAGAACGTGTTGTCTATATTTATTTAAAGTTGCGCATTTTGATGTGACGTCACATTTCTAAACCCCCCCCCCCCTCGTCACACATCGTCAAAAAATATCTGACCCCCCCCCCCCCAAGGTGCGTGACGTCATTTATGGACGGCCCCCTTGGTTAAAACCAACGCAGGTACAAGCACCATTCATCTGCTTGGCTTTTCTCCAGTATCACTACCTTCACCGCCATAATTGGCCACGATCAATCCACAGCTATTGCCATTGTTCACCATGGAGCAATGCTTGACTGGGAGTTTCAACAGGAATCCTGAGTTGCTGGAGCAGAGAGTGCGTTGAGGGGAGCGAGATGAATAGAGAGGCAGGAGAGTTCGTGGAGGGGAGTGGAGTGAGATGAGAGGCGAGAGGTAGGATAGTGTGTGGAGGGGAGTGGAGGGGTGAGAGAGTTGCAGTAGTTGAGTTGGCATGAGATGATGGCATGGATAAGGGTCTCAGCAAGCAGCCGAATCAAAACGTGAAAGCGATCTCCGGGTGCTAGTCTAAACACAGAACCACTGCTGACTTTTCGACAAAATTGTTCTCTTTTTGCTGCAAGCCACTCGCTCACTCTGCCGCTGGGCCGGCTTCATGCGAGAGAAGAGAAACGCTCACCGATATCCTTGATGAGAATGTCCGGAGGCACGATCTGCAGCAGAATCACGGCCGCCTCCCGTATGAGACGCACCGCGGAGGTGATGATGATGAGGGTCATGGCGATGGTGAGGGCTGGGTCGATGTAGCACTGCCAGTTGCACTGCTCCTTGCTGGTTATGGGCCTCACGTTGAAGACGATGGCGGTGATGACCACGGTGACGGAGCCGAGCGCATCCCCCAGCGTGTGGAGCAGCACCCCTGGGTGACGACGACAACCCACATGGGCCGCTCGCGTCACTCCGCTGCTGGACGACGGCCTCACCGTGTCACGCGCGTCGTGGGAGCTATCGGACTGCACTTCACTGTGTCGGGGACGTGTGCACCATGCGTACGCAAGCTCCGGCCCGATCCACACCGGCAGCTCAATTTGTCACATTTCTTGGCATTCAGTTCTTTTGAGCCGGTGGTCTGGCCGAGGACAATAACTTTTACACACACAATGCACGTCGTTGCATGCTGTTAATTCTCTGTTCGTCACCTGCACTGATGTTTCAGTGGCGATGGGTTTTCCGAATGACAGAAATGAGAGCCCGGTCAGTGTGGGCTGATGGAGGGAGTGTCCAGAACGGGTTCAGATACCGTTCGCCACTGACGTTAGCTGTAGCCAATTATAGAACTCGCTGTCCACGCAAAGCACTGCACCGTTGGTCAACCCCGTCTGTATATACAGGAAGCAAATAGATGTATATTTACTTTACCATTAAGCAAGAGATTGACATCGTAAAATGTGTCCTAATTCAGCTTGGAAATGAGACTAAGAATGCCAGAACTCTGGCATTCAGATGCATGGTTCAATTACCTCGGATATTAATGGCATTTTCTTTGGACCTTTTAACGGAGGCTCCCATTTCTTCTTCTCCTGTGAATGAGAGAGTTTCAAATTATAAATATTAAGCATAGGTATTAAACTTGCGTGAGAATTGTTATGTAGCCAAATGTTCACTTTATATTCAAGTTTTGCACACGTACCACAGCCTATACTTTCCTGATGTGAAAATTAGTCGTTCCTCTGGTTGGATAAAAGAAGTGAAGTTAAATTTATCTCTCAAACTTGATTTGAAGCTTTCGTGACTGCAGGAATAACTCTTTGGTCCTTTCAGTAAAGTCACGTATAAATAATTTGTTTTAATAATATGACGTTTTGATCACAACATAAGCAACCATCATCATGTAGAAAACAAACCTAGTGAACTTACAACACAGAGAGTCGGCCAACACAACAGTCAGCACCTCACCTGGTTGATTACGTTCTTCCAAAGATTGCTAAATTTGAGAGAGAGACAAAACACAGACACGGGGACACACAGACAGACACACAAGCAGAGAGAGAGACAACACAGAGACACAGAGAGAAAGACACAACATCGACTCATTTAGCAATCTTTGGAAGAACGTAATCAACCAGGTGAGGTGCTGACTGTTGCGTTGGCCGGCTCTCTGTGTTGTATTGCGTTACATTTCTAAGTTCACTAGGTTTGTTTTCTACCTGATGACGGTTGCTTGTGTTGCGATCGAAACGTCGTATTATTTAATTTATTTTCTTTCTACGTGACTGTTCCGAAAGAAGCAAAGAGTAAATTTATCTCTCGTTTCATCGATAAATCAGTGCAATTATTTTTCTTCACTTAAGCTGCATTAAGCAACCGGCCATCTTCATATGTCACACATTCAGCCCTACTCAATGTCAGCATCAATGATCTTTCAGCTGATGCGTTATGAGTAACATGATTATAGTAATAGTTGTATGAATACAGTAATAGTTATATAACACTTGTAGTGGGTGATTATAGTAATAGTTGTATAAGACGTGTCGTGGGTGTCGGGGGAAGGTTAGAGGGTTAGGAGCTAAGCGCCTGCACTCCAGCACTTTGGGTGCTTCGCAAAGTTGTGAAACTTTCAATCACACGAGCTGAGGCCGCCACATGGCAGTACACACACTACAAATCAATTATTGAATCCATTTGTACAGACCTTTCAGTATTGTCCCATCATCCACGAGGGTTTTGTCCGGCTACCCTGGTTCCCTCCAACACACAAGACACTCTTAAGTGAAATTGTCCAAACATCTCAATGCAGGATGCTGCTGAAAATTGTGTGAAGATTAAGTAAGGCCTTCTTGAATGTTATTAACATGAGTACGTGTAAGCGTTTAACGATGAAAAGCGTGGAATATATTTCCGTTGACTTGTCACCCGTTCTCGGCTTGCGATCGTCGGTAACCTCTGCGGCGTTGAACCTCGCGCACAGCCGGCTGCACGAGAAGCAATCTTGGAAGAGCATCAAGCCCGTCAAGTTCACCGAGAGCCCCAGCGCCCCGACGATGAGCACCAGCTTGGGGTTGTCGATGACGTCCGGTTGGGACAGGGCCTTGAGCGCCTGCACCGCCACTGATAGGGACAGCGCCACGAGGAACGAGGCAGTGGCCAGGGCGCTCACCACCTCGCCGCGCACCAGCCCGTAGGTGTGCCTCGAAGTGGCAGGCCATCGCGCCAGCCTCGCCGACGCGAGGCCCGAGGTGAGCGAGAGGGCGTCCGACAGCATGTTGAACGAGTCGGCCACGAGAGCCAGCGAGTTTCCCACGTAGCCGCTCACGAGCTCCGTGACGAAGAAGACCGACGTCAAGCACAGCATGCAGATCAGCCGGCACGACCTCCCCGAGTAGCGACCCATGGTCCGGCCGGCAGGCTCCGGTGACCTCGCAGTCTGACCACGTTCTCCGATTGCGATGGGAGGATAGTCGTTGTTTCCGTATGGGCGGTTCAACACCGACGGGTGTCACTGCGGTAGAAATGCACGAGAATTGCAGCTCGCAGCTTATTGCGCCGTAAACATGGAAACACCTTCACAACACAATAAGCTTCTTGTTGTACTCTTTCTCTCAGCCACTTAGATCCTCATTGGCCATAAAAGTTAATATTAGGTCTTCTCCTGATGAAGCCAGAAGCTGCAAAGTACATTTTAAGCTACAGATACAAATCAATCGTGACAATTAAAAAAGTATGCGAGCCAAAAAGTGTAATATGATGACAAATCCATCACAAGAGAGAAGCGCAGGCCAGAAAACAAATAGAATGACCACCAGCAATGAGCACTGCGAGCAGAGCTCTCGGCCTGATGCAGATTGTCCGCTTCAAAACTCGCCGCGCATGCCACAACAAAGAACTATTTTAAATCATCATCTGCTACTAAAATTGATATTTCTTCCATTAAAACAGATTTCTTTTCCGTTGCCCATCTACCACATAAACGCTTAAATTATAGAAATAAAAAATGCATAATGCAAGACACTGGCTACGCGTGCAATCGTGATGAACAATCTTAAAATCTAATTTGCCACACAAAGTTCATAATTCCTTCAATTTGCCTGAGGAAGAGTTAAAGTGTCTTCCATTTGTCATACGTTAGAGATTGTTAAGAATATGCCTTCCTTGAGTATGTGGGCATCATGATCCTTGTACCGTATATACAATGTGCGTGATGGAAATAAATAATGGATTCATACTTTAGCTTAATTGCAAATGTTTTTAGTTACAAGTTAATTATAGCTTAGGATGTTTGCCATTCAATCATGTTCAACCTTAGCTTACAAGTTAATGTGCACAATTACACACGACAAAAACTGAACACTTTAAAAGGAAAATCTGAAATATATTTGTGGCAATGCCCCAAACGACGCCTCTTGGGTTTTATTTCCTTTAAAGGTCCCAGTGTCATTGATGCACGTGTTCAGTTTTAGCTCACCAACGACATTTCATCATTTAATAGTATGCGCGATTAAATGTTGTTGTTGATACTTAATGGATTCAGGTACCTTGTCCCAACCAAGATTTTTACGATGGTCAAGCAATGGATTCACGTCAGCCATGGTACTCCTGCAGCCACGCGTGGCACTAACAGTCACAGCGAGGTAAAAAAAGAAAAAAGAGAATCATGAACTTCATCAACGTTCCTGCCTAACATAATTTTTTATTTCACACATGACCACTGAACGAGACTAAAGATAGAGTGGCAGCCAAGGGAGGAAACTTGCCCGAAAGGAAGTCCAACACTGGGATGGGGCAATGGAATCAGCTGGTGTGCAGGCACGAGCTGAAATGTAACTTCGCAGCAGCATCGAGCTGACAACGGCTTGGTGAGATCATCATCCGGCTGTTCGTGTTCATGGCTGATGATGTTGATGATAAACTCGAAGTGACTTGCAATATACAGGGCCCACCACGTCACACCACTTTAGCACGCGGATGTTGCTCAAATACCGTAAAGATCAAGATTGCACTGTTTATGTGCACGTTGAAAGTCAATGACCAGTGCTATCATTACTCGACTCAAAGCGCTTCATAAATATGCAAAACCAAGGTCACATTATTACGGAATTGCTTTTGAAGTGTTTTTATTTAAATAATTTGCATTCCTGCAAAAAAAGGATTGGTTTAACACAATCACCGGCTGGTTATATTTGATATTTACCATGATCAACCAACCCACTTTTTACCTAAATTAACTTCATAATATTAGTCGCGAATGCCTACGTGTTAAACTAAGCAGTCGGGGTGATTGATCATTCAGCACTCACCCATTCACTCCAGTTACTGGCTAACCACTAACCGGTGGTCAGTCACCTCGCACTCTGCTATCGCTACTGCCATGGTGACCGTTTCCCGTGAATTTCACTCCTTGATTCTTTCACCCGTGTGGAGGACTATTTTATCTCATCCACCCGGTGTTCTACCGCCACACTGCAGCTTACAAACACACTCACCCACTCACCCCACTGCAGCTCACTCACCCACCCACTCACCACCCTGCAGCTCACAACACACTCACCCACTCACCCCACTGCATCTCACAACACACTCACACACCCAGCTCACTCACCCACTCACCACACTGCAGATCACAACACACTCACACACCCACTTACTCACCACACTGCAGCTCACAACACACTCACACATCCACTCACCCACCCACTCACCCCACTGCAGCTCACAACACACTCACACACCCACTCACCCATCCACTCACCACACTGCAGCTCACAACACACTCACCCACTCACTCACCCACTCACCACACTGCAGCTCACAACACACTCACACACCCACTCACCCACCCACTCACCACACTGCAGCTCACAACACACTCACCCACTCACTCACCCACTCACCACACCGCAGCCAAGAACACACTCATCCACCCACTCACCCACCCACTCACCAAACCGCAGCCAACAACACACTCACCCACTCACCCACCCACCCACTCACCCACCCACTCACCCACCCACTCACCAAACTGCAGCTCACAAACACTCACCCACCCACTCACCACACTGCAGCTCACAACACACTCACCCACCCACTCACCACACTGCACGTCACAACACACTCACCCACTCGCTCACCCACTCACTCACCCACCCACTCACCACACTGCAACTCACAACACACTTACCCACTCACCCACCCAACCACTCACCCACTCACTCACCCACCCACTCGCCACACTGCAACTCACAACACACTTACCCACTCACCCACCCAACCACTCACCCACTCACTCACCCACCCACTCACCACACTGCAACTCACAACACACTTACCCACTCACCCACCCAACCACTCACCCACTCACTCACCCACCCACTCGCCACACTGCAGCTCACAACACACTCACCCACTCACTCACCCACCCACTCACTCACCCACCCCCTCACCACACTGCAGCTCACAACACACCCACTCACTTACTCACCACACTGCAACTCACAACACACTCACCCACCCACTCACCCACCCACTCACCACACTGCAGCTCACAAACACACTCATCCACCCACTCACCCACCCACCCACCCACTCACCACACTGCAGCTCACAACACACTCACCCACTCACTCACCCACCAACTCACCCACCCACTCACCACACTGCAGCTCACAAACACACTCATTCACCCACTCACCCACCCACCCACTCACCACACTGCAGCTCACAACACACTCACCCACCCACCCACTCACCCACCCACTCACCACACTGCAGCTCACAAACACACTCATCCACCCACTCACCCACCCACCCACTCACCACACTGCAGCTCACAACACACTCACTCACCCACCCACTCACCCACCCACTCACCACACTGCAGCTCACAAACACACTCATCCACCCACTCACCCACCCACCCACTCACCACACTGCAGCTCACAACACACTCACCCACCCACTCACCCACCCACTCACCACACTGCAGCTCACAACACACCCACTCACCCACCCACCCACTCACCACACTGCAGCTCACAACACACTCACCCACCCACTCACCCACCCACTCACCACACTGCAGCTCACAACACACCCACCCACTCACCCACCCACTCACCACACTGCACGTCACAACACTTTTCTTTACCCTTCGTTCCTCACACTGCTCCACTTTGGAAATCCGTCCCACCTTCTGTCCCAAGCTCAATTTAAGAAACGTGTTCTTACCTTTTACGACTGTATGCTGTTAGTTGCTGTCCGCGTGACATTGTGGGCCTTTGGGCCTGTGATCAAAACATGTGAGAAAAGTTGGTTATTTTGCAGTACCTATTTATCGATTTCACCTGTCTTCACACCGCAGGTATAAATCAGTACATCCAGTGAAGTTATTTTCTGATGAACTTAGCACTTAGTTGTCTCCTATTTTATGTGACGATTTTCACAGATACACAAGCACTCACAAGCGGTTACTCACACATAATCTGAACATCTGCACATTTTTTTAAATGAAGGGGGTGCATGTGGGGCTTGCTATACCATGGCAAATCGCAATCTGTGGTGTCGTTCTGATTTTCAGCTTTGGCATAAAAGTGGGAAATGGTCCAAAGGTTCAATCATCTGCCCCCTGTCTCTTCATGCTCATTTTTAGAACGCTATACGTGTATGGAAAATGCTTTTTCAACCTGCCCACATGAACCGATATTGAAATTCAGTCACATTACAAACAAAATACCTACATACATGATAAGCATCCTTCCCATATTTGTTTCCCATGTTCAAAAATAAAGGCATTTTATTAAACATTTCATCACCCACACAGCCTTCCTGGAGTGCATGTCAGCATCATTGGTTTTTACAAGCAAGCGGCCGTCCATAAATGACGTCACGCGATTTTGGACGATTTTTGACCCCCCCCCCCCCTCGTCACACGGCGTCACAAAGAGTCAGACCCCCCCTCAAATATGACGTCACAAAGCTCTGCCCCCCCCCCAAATAAAACATGCTTCAAATCGCTTTAAACCATTGCCATTGTAGTGCGTATTTAATGTGGCGCTGCACTCTGATGTTGTAGGAGAAAAAAAAAAACGTGTTGTCTATATTTATTTAAAGTAGCGAAATTTGATGTGACGTCACATTTCTCACCCCCCCCCCCCCTCGTCACACATCGTCACAAATGTCTGAACCCCCCCCCCCCCAGGTGCGTGACGTCATTTATGGACGGCCCCCAAACTCTGGACCGCTTTTTGACATTCAGCGCCTCATCAGAATTCAGACTTGCTTAAACAAATGCTGGGTGAACTGTCATGCCCATCCGTGTTTGAAATCATGAAATGGGTCCTAGATTGATGAAAATATAATACACAACACAAATTACGAGTGTCCCAGAAGGCCGTGTGGCTGATAGGATGTGTAAACAACCTTATTTGTTTATGTGGAGAGACGCCTATGGGAAGAAGGCACGCTGCAAATGTATTCGTTTTGTTATTTATATTCTCCACAACGCTGGGAATTAATTGACACATTAAAACTGTTGTGTTTAAT